GGGGGGTGGGGGGGGGGGGAATTAAATAAATAGTGGTTCGATAAGCCAAATTAGTTAGGCTATTGTGTTAAGAGTTCTGTGTACTCCCTCATCTCCTTTCTTCTCTAGTTTTCTCCCCTTTACTCTGCATTTCACTCTCATTCCTCTTTCATTTCTAAGTCACTGTTTCATTGTCCTTCTATCATTATCTGTAATATCAATTTGGCAGACTATAATAAAGATAATCTATTTTCTTAATTATTTCGCAAGTTAAGTGTTTCATTGCCCTTCTTTCCAAAGTATTCTTTCAATTGCCCAACAACATTTTCATCAATTGCATCAACCTGAAGGCAGTGCCTTTAGCTAATTCTAGTGAAGCTGGTTTTAGTAGCAATTCACCATTTGCTACTTCAGTCATTGCGATGCAAAGAAATGCAATTAAAATGCAAAATTAAGAAAACTCTGCTTAAGTTCATTAACGTGTTTCTTTTCCCTTGAAGGGATATATAATACCTTTGTTAGTTCAATACTTATATCCTTTTCACTTGAACCTATTGTGATAAGCTACAAGAATAGGTTATAACTGTTGGGACAGAAAAAATCACATGTCCTGCGAAAGCTAGCAAAGTAACACTTGAATGACGATAAATCAGACAACATAAGAGAAATATATCAAAAGAGACAAAAATATTTAACATGGTTCGGTCAATTGACCTACGTTCATGGCGGAGATTAGCAATCCACTATATAAAAGAGAGTATAAAATATTGAGAGAACAATACAAGTGTCACGACCCAAAATCCTAACCTGTCGTGATGGCGCCTATCGTGGAACTAGGCAGGCCAACTCATTCAAAACAAACCGATATTTTCATTTCAAAGATAATCTCAAGGCTATTTAGCATAAAAATCTTCGCAAAAGAGTTCAAACCAAAACAAAAGTGCAGAAAAGAAAACAAAAGCCCGACATCGGGGTGTCACTAAGTCATGAGCATCTACTACAGTCTGTCTAACAATATCAAGGCTAACTCAGCTTGAAAAATAGATAAATACAACTAAAGGAAGATAAGAGGGAGAAGAGCAGGGGCTGCGATCGCCAAGCAGCTACCTTGCTATCTCCGAGAAAATCTGCAACCAGAATAATCAACAACCGCTACCGTGTCCAGCTGTCACGACCCAAAATCTAACCATGGTCGTGATGGCGCCTATCGTGTTACAAGGCAAGCCTACTTCCCAAAATATTGCTACTAAACCGATTATAAGAATTTTAATAAAATATTTTAACATTTGAATTTCTCATAAACTAAATCAACTCTAAATATAAATTTTGAAATACGGAAACGAGCCCCAAACATCGGGGTGTCACTAAGTCATGAGCGTCTAACTCTATGAACTAAGAAATGAAACTGTCTAACTGTCAATACAATCCAAAAGAAGAAATGATAAAAGCAGTAACAAGGTCCTGCGGACGCTAGCAGCTACCTTGCAATCTCCACAGATAGCCGGCCTGAACTCAACGATCGCCGCGCTCTAACTCACCTGAATCTGCACATAAAGTGCAGGGTGTAGCATGAGTACAACCACCTCAGCAAGTAACAGAAATAATTAAGGAACTGAGCAATAATGACGAGCTAAGTAAAACAGTCCTATTATTTATTTTCATAATTTAAAAATAAACAGAAATAAACAGGTAAATTCCATAACTCAGTAAATGCCACAAAGAGGTTTAACAGATAAATGCAGCAACAACACAAATGAATACAACCTCACAACAGTGTCACTCCATCACTCATCACTCGCACTCAGCACTCAACACTCAGAACACTCAACACTCTGCGCTCACTGGGGGTGTGTACAGACTCCGGAGGGGCTCCCAAAGCCCAAGCGCTAAGCACAAACAACTCACATGCCATCATATCAATACCTGGATACGCACGGTCAACTCACGTGCTACGCGGACAACTCACGCGCTATGGTATCAATACCTGGACCCGCACGGTCAACTCACGTGCTACGCGGACAACTCATGCGCTATGGTATTAATATCCTCACAACTAGTCCCTCGGCCTCACTCAATCATGTACCTCACTAGCCTCATCATCACCAACAAAGAAAAGAACACAACCCACATCAAGTATCGCCGCATATTAGCAAATAATAGAGACAGAGGTAAAGATGTACAATAATTTCTATGACTGAGTACACATAATGTGAGCATGAATAAAGCCTAAGCATGCTCTCTAACATGAAGGCAAACAAGTTCAACAACAAATAAACACATAATCACAGATAATAGCCATTAGGCCTCACAGCCTCACAGGGCAGACCAAGTCTCAATCCCTCACGGTGCACACCCACACGCTCGTCACCTAGCGTGGGTATCACTTCCAAACAATCACGTGATGTCAAATCTCCGGGTTTATACCCTCAAAGCCAGAGTTAAAACTGTTACTTACCTTAACAGCATAAAAATCCTACCCTGGGATGCCCTCGTCTCTGGACCCGGTCTCCAAATGCTCTGAATCTAATCACAATCAATACAATACCATCAATATACGCTAATGGAATGAATTCCACAAGAAAAACTACAAAATATGCCAAAAATCCGAAACCGACCAAAACCCAACCCCCCGGGCCCACATCTCAAAATTAGTCAAAAATGACAGAATAATAAACCATGTCCTCTCCCGAGTCTAACCATATAAAATTTATCAAAATCCGACATCGTTTGGTCCTTCAAAACCTTAAATTACTTCTCCAAAATTCCAAGCCCTAACCCCTCATTTTTACTAATTATAACGATTAAACAACGGAATATCACCATATATACAAGTATTAGGGCTCAAGTAACTTACCTCAATGAAACCCCCTTGATTCCCTCTTCAAAACTCTCCCAAAAGCTCCAAAAATGAATAGAAATGGTGAAGAACGCACCAAAATTCGCGAAGTGTGATATATAGGATTTGCCCCAGGGATTCCGCACCTGCGGACCCTTTCTCGCACCTGCGGACTCGCATTTGCGGTCCCAGGTGCGTATATGCGAAAGTTACTTAGACGCCAAGCTTCGCACCTGCGGGCTCGCAGGTGCGATCCTCTCTTCCGCACCTGCGCTCAATGCCAGGCCTCCATTTTTCGCATCTGCGATATGTCATCCGCACCTGTGGCTCAAAATCCGCAGGTGCGGCCACACCAGTAGCCTTACACCAGCAGCTTCCAGCTGCATTTTTCAACTTCCAAACTCCCTGATACCCATCCGAAATCATCCCGAGTCCCTCGGAACCTCAACCAAAAATACCAACAAGTCATATATCAACATACCAACTTAGTCGAACCTTCGAATCACTCAAAACAACATCAAATCATCAAATTACCCCCGGATTCAAGCCTAAGAACTTCTAAAATTTTAAATTCGGCAACCAATGCCGAAACCAACCAAACCACGTCCGAATGACCTCAAATTTTGAACACACATAACAAATGACACTACAAACCTACTCCAACTTCCGGAATTCCATTCCGACCCCGATATCAAATTTTTCACTGCTGACCGAAATCGCCAAATTTCCAATTTCACCAATTCAAGCCTTATTCTACCACGGACCTCCAAATCATATTCCGAACATACTCCTAAGTCCAAAATTAGCTAACGGAGCTAACGAAACCATCAAAATTCAAATCCGAGGTCGTTTACTCATAGATACATATCCGGTCCACTCACTACTAGAAATTCGGCAAAAACCGACCAAGGTCGACCGACCAACTTTGGTCGGTCAAAAAACCGACCAAAGTTGGTCGGTTTTTCAAAATTTGTTTTTAAATTTTTTTTTTTTACGTAACCGACCAACTTTGGTCGGTTTTCTTTGGCGCAAAAATGCGGGAAACTATTTTTGAGTCCCGCAAAATTTATATTTCAAGAAACCGACCAACTTTGATCGGTTTTTTAATTAAAATAAATAAAAATTAATATTAAAAAAACCGACCAAAATTGGTCGGTTAATTCGGCCGGTCATTTAAAAAACCGACCAACTTTGGTCGGTTATTTTCGTGCGAAAATACAATTAAAAAGTATAAATCAAATAAAAGACAGTCTTAAAACAAATGGTCTAGTGGTAGAATAGTATCCTGCCACAGTACAGACCCCGGTTCGATTCCCAGATAGTGAATCTTTTTATTACACAATTAAAATACCGACCAACTTTGGTCGGTTTTTTTTTGCAATATTTTTTTTTAGTATGCCTTTCCGACCACAAAAATACCGTCCACACGTATATGGTCGCGTTTTGGTCGGTTTTTTGCCATTACCGACCAACGTTGGTCGGATTTTTTGGTCGATTTTTACCGGATTTCTAGTAGTGACTTTTCTAACTTAAAATTTTTAATTATGAGACTAAGTGTTTCATTTCACTCCGAGTTCCTTCCGGACCCGAACCAACTAACCCGATAAGTCATAAATCAATTGCAAGATATATATTGAGCAGTAAATGAGGGAATGGGTTATAATATTCAATACGACTGGTCGAGTCATTACACCAGCTACACCTAGATCTGCACACAAGGTGCAGGGAGTAATGTGAGTACGCCAACTCAGTAAGTAACAACAATAAATAAATACTGAGCAGTTGTGATGAGCAATAAAGCATATAACGTTCATATCAGAAAATCTCAGTAAAATACCACATGCTTTTAAAATCAGGATTTGAATCAAAACATCTCGTTTAAACCCAGTTCCATTAAAATCATTTAAAGATATTTTTCAACAGTTTTCAAACAGAGACTAAATGCAAAGGTGAGAAAAATGATGAAATCATAAACAGCCCCTCGGGCAAAACATCACTAATATACAGCCTCTCGGGCAAACCTCACAGCCACTCGTGCCACTCGGGCATACCTCACAATCACTCTTGCCACTCGGGCATACCTCACAATC